TACTGCCAAGGCTGTGCTCTATTTTTTACTTAGGTTGGGCCTAGATAATCACTTCAAGAAGTAGACCTAGATCTACAAGCCATGCAACATCATGAGACTAACCCCGAAGCTCACAGCCCATCTTTTCTTTCCTCATTTGTTCAAATATACACCAATATATAAATTATATCCTATTTCAGGTAAAAATGGTGCTTCACTGTCAGGGGTCATATGCAGCCTTTAACATTCCAGAAATGATGTCCTGATTCCTGTACTGCCATTTCCAGGAGCTTTCAGTCCCTTGGGGTAACCGACCATCCCAGCAGTTCCCACAGGACCCCTTCCCTCCCTTTCTCTGCTGGTACTTCTACACTTACCTGTCCTCACTTCTCACTTCACACCATACTTCACTACTCCCTACCCTCCTGTCTGCTCCTGGCTTTCCAGAAAGTCTCTGGAAATTCATCCTGGAATTGTCTCTGAAGTTCATCCTGCTTTCAGTTTTCCAGCTGGAGTTTGCTTAGATGTTTTCTGGTGCCAGCACTGCTGCATAAGAGAAACAAACTTTATTTTTGCTTTCAGCTTAGGGCTGTTCATGGCCAGTAGAGAGCTGGTTTTGTGATCCTAGCTAGGCAGAGAGGAAAGGGCTAGTCAAAAGGTACTTGAATACCTGCATTATTTTCTCTTTGCCCCTTTATTAGTCTCAAATACCACTCTTCTCTTTCAAGCAGGTTCATCTATTCTCCTTCTGCTCATCGTGACAACATGACATTCTAACCTCCTCCTTTAGTTACCTAACAGTGTCACACATCCGTACTAGACACTCTTTCAGATATAGGATTGGGTTCAATGCCATTTCCAAATCATCAGGTGCTTTCATTGGCCATTACAGCATTTTGGCGTGTTCTTAGATTTTAGGAAAATGAGGGAAGACTGTACTTTGGCAGAGAGCTGTGGAGCCCAGCCCCAGGAAAAATTACTGCCAAGCTGGCCTTTTAACTGCAAATTCCTGCTGTTCCAAGTTCTGTAGAGACAGAAAGGTGCAGACTGCTGGGGGGGGGTGGGCGTGGGCTCCAACCCTTACAGTGCCCAACCTGGTGGGCTAACAGCACACCGGTGTGGAGAGCCAAGAGCTGCAAAGAGACCTCAGCATGTCTTTCCTGCATGCTCCCATTCCCCCCTTATTCCACACTCAGCTACAAGGGTGGATGGAGGAAGGCCCTTTTACACTGCTCCCCCAACAACACCTAGAGGGCAGTTATTAAAAACAATAAAATTAGAATCATAGAATATTCTAAGTTGGAAGGGACTCACGAGGATCATCAAGTCAAACTCCTGGCCCTGCACAGGACCATTCCCAAGAGTCAAACCCCGTGTTTGAGGGTATCATCCAAACACTTCCTGAACTGTCAGCCTTGGTGCTGTGACCACTGCCCTGGGGAGCCTGTTTCAGTGCCCAACCACCCTCTGGGTGAAGAATCTTTTTCTAATATCCAACCTAAACCACCCCTGAACCTCCCCTGACACAACTTCAGGCCATTCCCTCAGGGTCTGTCACTGGTCACCACAGAGAAGAGATCAGTGCCTGCCCCTCCTCTCCTCACCATGAGGAAGTTGCAAGTGCAGTGGTCTCCCCTCAGTCTCCTCCAGGCTGAACAAAGCAAGGGACATCAGTTGCTCCTTGTACAGCCTTCCCTCTAGGCTCTTCACCACCTTCACAGCTCTCCTTTGGACACTTTCTAATAGCTTTACATCTTTACAATGACCATCCAATGTTTTTTATATCAAAACAATTGCAAAAATTCACATATGTGATCCAAAAAAATTTCTGCATATTCCAAAGAAAGTCAGGTACCAATCACAGCTTAACTGCAAGACTACTTCATGTTACTAACCTTACTTCTTTCCCTTGTTAGAAAACAAGCAGAATTAGAGAGCACTGTTGAAGAGCTACAGAAAAATCAGGATGATTTTTACAAAGTGCGAAAAAAGAAAAAAAGAGGTCACAGCAGATCTAAAATTCCCATCTTGAGGCAGAAAGATAAAAGCACTCATTTTTGACCTCTTCTCCATTTATTTTTTGCTGTTGACAGCCAAGACAGTGTTAAGATTCACTACGAAATTACAGCCTGTTTCATGCAGCACTGTCAAAAAGCTCTCAGATCCAGAATGGCAAGAGCCCAGCTCACAACACTGCTTTTTCACACCAGAACAAGGGGGCCTTCAGTGACAGGAGAAAATCCAGAGTGTGACTGCAGGGACTGAGGGAGAGAGGAGGTAGGAGTGCATACTTCTGAAGTTCAGCCCCAAAAATGCATTCCATACTGTGACTGGGAAAAACAAAACTCCCTACAATATATTATAAAGGTGATCTGAAGCTACGGAAGTGCTCTCTACCACACTGTGACCCTTGAACAGAGATGTTAAATGAGGGTCCTGTAATTTCTCCAACTCATCTCCAGTATGGCAAAGAAAAGTATTCATGCTGTGAAGTTTAAATAAGTCCCACTAGACATCACATTTCCCCTCCTCACTAGGAAGAATGGACATGGTCACACTACAGATACTTGAGACTCCCACACATCACTGCTCTGGTTTCATTAAATTCACATGCTGGAGTTTGTTCAAGGCTTAAGAGTAAAAAAGTATGGGAACATCCTGTACAGCATTTTCACTAATATACAGGATTTGGAACTAATCTTGTTCCATTCTGCAAACACAAGCCATGTCTATCTTCAGTTTTTTCCCTTCATTGTGAATATTTTAATGTTTACTCCATATCACCCAAAGGACACAGCAGGCATCACCCACTGTTCACTGGTTAGCAAGCAGAGCCTTTTCCAAGCAGGAGCAGAGAAAAGCCACACAGCTGGCTTTCACTAAGAGCCCTGAGGCTCAAGGTTCCCATCTCAGTCTCCCCAGTTCTTGTACTTACTGTTTGCTGTGTTCAAGTGAACTAATGGTCTCTATACGTACCTTCAGTCTCCATTTGGGAAATGCAGGACTGACTTCAGTTGCCTCTTGCTTCTGGGCTGAAGGATGGATATACTGTGTACTTCAAAAAGTATGGAATGGCCTCAAAAGCATGTGAAACACACTGATATCCAAGCCAGCATCTTTACATACAGGAAGGATTAGGCTTATTAAAATTGCTTGCTTTGCAATGCATCATTCTTTCTCCCACTCTCAGCAGTTTACCAGGATTTCTAAGTTAACTCCTGCAATGCTGGGAACTTGCTTTTCTTCATAAAGGGGTACAAGCACTGGAAGAAATACAAAAGAACCATCTAAAGGGGAGATCACCTGGACAAGGCAACCTAAACATAAGCCAATCACATCTTTCCCTTTTCATCTGCTCTTCTGAAAGTATTCAAGTGACTCATTTCTGTTCAGACAAATGTCAGAAAGAAAACAAAGGACACGCATGAAGACAGACAGCACCAACACAGCTCATTCACCCAGTTCACAGACCCACTGGCTCTGGCAGTCAGAGGCAGGCAGAACAACTGCCTGCTCAGCACTTGTAGCAGGGGAGAGAGGAGGATAAAGGCAATTTAAGAAATGCTGCCTGTGTTCTAGGGACAGAGAGAGGTACACGGATCAGCTGGGTTAGCATTCATTGAAATACACCCATGGCCTGGTGCCCAGGAACGTGCAGCCAACAGAATACAAAGATTTTACAGGTCAAAATGGAAGAGCACAATTCCCACTGCACACAGGGGCCTGGGCTGACTAGAGCAGAGCAGGCTGTAGCAGAGGTAGCTGGCAGAGTGACACCTGAACAAGAAGACAGACACAAGCAGATTCAATCAGCAAGTTTAGCAAGACTCCAGACACGGAATACAGGATAAGCATAAGTGCTACTGAGACTTTCAAATCTAAGCCCAGAAACTTGGCAAAACACCCAGATAGAGCAAATAATACTTAGAAAAGCTACTGAGCCACACAGGTAAGCTCTGTGCTGATGAATGAATGCACACAATAAAAAAGTGACAAAAGAGACATCACAAGGGATGGCACAATGAAGTACACACAGAATTTACACAAATGCATACAATCTGAAGTTTAAAACTGGTTCATGCTTTAAAATTATTAAATACAATAACTGGTTAAAGTTTCAGTGAGAAAATATGTCAAAACAGTAGGAATTATGGTGTATTCTTAAGACAGATCTCCATTAGGAAATTACTGAATCCATCAATCGTAGAACTTGATTGAACTGAACAATAAGGTTTGATGACAAGACAATCAAGCTGAAGTAGACCACCAGATACCATGACCTTACTACAAAAGAATAGCAAAAGCACACTTTTCTGAGCTACAAAATATACAGCACACCCCTTAGCATAGGCAAGGAAATATTTTTTGCTTTCTCTTCATCTTACACCTAGTATCAGATCAGAAAAGTAGCTGTACTGCCATGTACTGCTTCTGACTCAAAAGACGTAGGATGTTTTTCTATAACTTTGCACAAATACACATCTCTGATCCTATGAGCTTAGAAAAACTGGAAAAAAGATGAAACTCTGTTCTTTTCCTACCCCACTCCACATCCCCCAGGAAAAGAACCCTCAAGATACGTGGGCCTACTAAGACCAAAAGATGCTGCAGTTCTTGCTGTGGCAAAAAAAGCCTGAAATCTCAGTGGAAGGCAGCTGTAAAAGGTTAAACAGACATGTTTAATTCAGAGAGGTACTCTGGAATTTCCCCACAGAAACAGCTCTTCTAAGACAGAAAACTGATGGAGTCAAGCATGCATTGTACTTTGAATACTCACTTAATCCAAAGTGAGGAGCACCTCCTATGCAAACTTTATTATGCAAATAGGTTAATCCCCAGGTTCCACACTCAGACATTTAAGTGAAAACATTAGAAATGGCCCAACTAGAATCAAAGACAGCAAAAACAAAGATAAGCAAGTATCTTTCTGTGACTCCTAGTTCTCATTTTTCTTCCTCCTTTTCCCAGTGATGACAGGCTGACAGAGAGAAGGAAATACACATCCACCCGGTACTCTTCCATACAAGTAAATACAAAAGAATCAAGTGTTTATTGGAAGTCTGCATGAAGGCACAGATGAGCTTGATTACAGACACATCATAACAATTACAAATATATGTAAACACCTTGAGATATACAAAAAAGCAATAATACAGCTAACACAGGAATAAAATGTAACCTGCTAAAAAAAAACAAACAAACTTCTTTGTATCTGAGGTTCTTACAATAAGCTCCGATGCACACCAACACAGTGTAATGCTCTTAAAGTCATCACTTGGATTCATGCTCAACAAATCTGAACTTTGGCCATTGTTTGATCCAAATTGGAACAGGCTTCCTTCACTAGGATCAGAAAAAACATAGGAATTACCAGCTAGACACCCAGTCAACCTATAATGAGGCTTCACTGGTTCTCTAAATATACAAGAGCAAGGTACCAAGGTACTGAAATTAAATATAAGCTTCAGAAAAGCTCAAGGATGCTTGTTCCACTTTTACTTGCATTTGAGGAAATTGCTGTATTTCTGCAGGAAAGGAACAGTCTACAGCTGTCAGGTGATTTTTTTCTTCCTCCACAGGAGGCTTAGATTTCATCTGAAACACCTGCCAAAACAAAAGTCAGCAATCACAAACTAAAGTGCCTCGGACAGCTTAGGTTTTACCACTAGAATAAAACATCTCTGTTCATAGATGCAGCATTGAGTTATATCATGAGAAAACCCACCTTTGCACATAGAAGACTACTTCCAATATTTCTGTGGAAAGGGGAATTGCCTTTTGTTGGTTTTTTGTTATCGTTGGTGGGTTTTTTTTTAAATTAGATAGCAATGCCATAAACTTAAAGAACAGCAACACAGCATTTTTTCAAAGGAAATCACGCACACACACACACACAAATGTAGTTTTAGTACAGGCCTAGACAAAGAGTACTCTGAGCAGCAGTTTACTACAGGGACACACAGTTTTCTCAAACTCAACCCTCAACCATCTGTCCTAACTCCTCACTTCTCTACAAAAATTTTATAACCTCCAGAGCCCCTTTCCAGTGAGGAAAGACTCCTATCCAGGTAACACATGCAGAACAAAACCTAACACATTTCTCCTGACTCTGCAGCCACATCATCCCAACCTAAAGATGAGGTAGTACTTTTCTTTGGAGCCCAACTAGTTGAGTAGGAACAAGCACTGTTCTCCCTAAAGTAGAAGCTGCCTGGAATGCAGCACCAAACTCCAGAGTTTATCTCCTCCCCAGGACACACCTCTAATCCAAAACCAGCACCAGCTGCTTAAAAAAAATGTAAATCACTATATGAGCACACACTCCTCTTTAACTATGACTGCATTGTAAAGGCCACAGTCTGGCAAACTCAGTGACTTCCTCCTGTCTACAAAGTGGCAATGACTCAACTTCTGTTTGTACTGGGACTAATGGTTATTACCCAAAAGGAACATGAAGATATCCTGAGTATTTATTACAGTGAGATGTGGAAATTAAAAAAAAAAGTTAAAATATTAAAAATTTTAATCTGAATCCAAAAAAGGGCTGAAAGAGGAATTCAGCTCCTCAGGGAACTGAGGAAACCAGATTGTCTCTATGCATACAGTCCATTTGGTAATTAGGGGCTCTGTTTGCTCTCTCTTCAGGAGGAGAGATCTTTCCCCTCAAGGAGGTTGCTGTAACATATGCATGTATTATAATTTTATAGCTTACACCCATAAACCTTCTGGTTTCTTATGAGATGGCTTGAACTGGAGAAATATGCTCTGCATAGTCCATGCTCTGTAGACTCCCAATGATCAAAAAGAAATGGACTGCCATGACTGAAACAAAGAGGAAACATCAAAAGAGTTGAACAGTATTAGAACTCGTACTGCTTGTAAAACTAAGCATGAGGATTAGAAAAAGCACTACAAAACTTAAACAAGGTCCCTGGATGCATCCTCTTGGCAAGCAATAATCAATACTGAGGATGAGAGGACTGTGTTCCTTTGACTGACAACTACCCAAGGCTCTTTTATTTGTCTCCATGATCAGCTTCCATTTTTTTAACAAAATATCCACAGTCTATATGGTCTCCTGGCAGCAGTGCAAGTTGCACAGATCCCAGGAAGCTTTCTCGTTTTCGCTGCATTCAAGACTGCTGTGCATTCAGCTGAAGTGCACAGGGATTCCACCCAGGCAGCTGGATTCCTAAATGTAAACATTTTTACAGGAAAGGAATCCTATTCTGTTCAGCTCCAATACAGTGATTGCCAGTAGAAAAGCACTGACAGCTTCTGGAAAAACTCTGATAGTACTTTCTGCCCTCAGGAATATGCTCTCAGAAGAGTACATGTAATTAAAACAGTCTTATCTGGCTTTTAGCTGGAAAACTATCTGCGAACAGTCCCACCTCTTCTTCCAAAGAACTTCTCTGGAACAAACTGCGGATAAAACACACTCTTAACACTCTACAGAGTATCAGCTGCATTCCAGTGTGCAAGCCAGATCCCTTGAGAGAAAATATAAAAAGAAAGCTGCTTGATTGTCAGAGAGGAAAGCACTGCTAAACCAGCTAAAAGGTAGATTTTATTTTTTTAATCTTGAGCTGTAAAGGGGTAGGCTCACAAAATGCTCATCACAGCTAAAATTGCTTCTGTGGCCTTACACAACTAGTGAGGATGCAGCATGCCACTGAGGAAAAGGACAGCAGAGACCCACCCAGGTGCTTCTGAGATAAACCAAGCACTCAAGCCCTCAGAGTAAGCTGGACCTCACTGTCAAGTGAGTTTCTCCAGTCTATACGAGATCCAATAAAATCACAGTTGTGGAATCATAATTCATGACTATAATTCACAAGGGAAACTGAAAATCCATTTACATTTATTAGGAGATGGTTGTGCACAATTTCTCATCTTATTCAAAAAGTCTACAAATAGAGTTTAACACTTCTGATTGCAAGCAAATGTTTGTTCAACGTTCTTAGTTCAATAAGGCCAATTAAGTGCCTTGTTACACTTCCAAGATTCAGTACACATTTGTCAGTTCTTTACTTTCTTCCGGTAACAGTCCCACTGGAATAGTAAGGAAAGTTCACTAAGACACTTTATAACAGCAGCTGAACTTGGGTTATGCAAATTCAGTTTTGGAATATGCTTCAAACATAAATTATTTTAGGCAATTTTCCATTTTGAGATCTTAAAACACCGTCAAAGGCTCTTCCCCTCCCGCCCACATTTGTACTACCATCACCATGGGCTTGCACTCCGTAGAGCCATAGATCCAAGAATCTCAAAGCACTTCAGAAAGGAGGGCACATTTCAAATAGTGTGATACTTGAGCTGGAATCCTACTTAAAAAAACCTGGGTTTTTTTTTTTATTCGTCTTATGTTTACAAAAGGACAAGCGCCAAACTAAACCGATCCTACCTTGACCTTCGTCCCACCTCGGACTGCCTATCACCTTCTCACATGCAATCCTACCACTGATTCAGGAGCTCTGTTTAATTAGACTGCTCACAGCTGAGTTTCCTCTATGGAAAGGTGAGCATCTGCTATGGTCAATTATTTTCAGATGGAAGCACTTGGTCAAATTTTAGGTCTGCCACAATCTTGAGAATCACTTGACTGCGGAATCACTACCGTAATTACTGTAATTTGATAATGCACTTGATCCCATATTGGTTTAAGAAGTGTAATAGACTATATATGCATTTCTCTAAATTCTCTCAGAGCTGAAACTACATAGCTACAGTGAAGAAATCCTAGTTTTGTCTTAAGCAGAACATTTTTACAACATTATTTTAACTTACTACTTTGATTTAATGCACTAATTTTATAAGGATTTTCAGTTTGCAATCCTGACTGAATAGGTGAGCGGCAAACATGACAATATATGTACAAGTGTTAGTATACTACCAGAATGCTGTACTTCCTTCTCAAAAATGTCCTTAATAAAGCATTAGGCATGTCAAACAAACTTTTGTAAACAAAAGATAAATTACTCATGTTCTGCTCTGATTACAGCCAGATACATATTCTCATAAAATAAACATTCTCTTGTCATTTTCCATGGCCCACATATCCATATATATGAGGTAAACCACTTAAAATTATCAATAATATATAAACCTCAGTACTCAACAGGAACCTCAGGGAAAATGTAACCGAGTAAGATGTCAATATCAAGAAGTGACACTTTGTTCCACTGCAAAGTGAAACCAATTTATTTGTGCTAAATGAATGGAAAGAATGTATTCAGAATACATTTCTTTATACATTGTACCGGCTTAGGCTGCTAAATAAGCATTCATTAGTGCCATGTTGTGCTACTTTCTTGTACTCTGTTTCTACCAAGCAATACAAAGTTTTGGCTGTTATGCCAATAAATTCCTCTATGCTCATCTTATTTCTAACAGACTTTTGAACATTTAGAATACCTGTTGGAACTTTGCTTCGGGGGAATCACAATTAATATATTTTAACAAGAAAGAAATTATCATCAGTTGTTCTCTACAATCACATTGCCTTCTGCAGCAAAAAAAAAAAAAAAAAAAAATCAAAGAGCACACTTGAATCAGCAATCAGTAACCTGTGGGCAGGACCACACTTACCGAGGTCATTGTGACAGCTCACACAGTATGGGCAGCTTACAGGTTAATGTAGATGTCAAGTGACATCATCAAATCTTAAGGTCCACGAATTGTACATTCCACAGACTCCAACAAGCCAGTTCCCTCAGTGTAAAATTCTGACTGTACCATACGTTTGAGGTGCTTTTAAACAGGAGAAATATGGATGTGTCCTGTGTGCTGAATTAGGCTTATTTGCTACGTAACACAATAGAGTTTGTGTCTTGGGCACTGATTAGGGTTTCTGACTCACTTTTGCACTAGAAGCTGTTATCTTAAATGACTGAAACATAGTGCTGATTTTCCATAAGCTTGGTAAACACTGTAATAGTTCAGAATTTATCATGTAGCCCATCATGCCTTTCATTTTCTGCAAATTGTCATGAAAAAATATAAAAAGGTATCCCTTTAATTTTACAAACCTAAAAGCCAGGAAAATGAAGCTTTGGAGCCAAGCAAAACGACGTAATGCCGTATTACCAAACAGAGTAGCAAATGTTCCAGCCAGAGAATGGACATACATGTAGTTCAAGTAAACACTGATGGAAAACTTTGTTAAGTTAGTGTTGTAGACCCACAACACTGGCTGCATTTTATACAAACGTTTACAACACAATTAACAGTGAAGCCTATATAACCTCAGTGCAAATAAGTCAAATCCAAATATGCCAAGTTAAGCCTTTGGCTTTTAGTAAACTGCTCCGTGTTATGAGTCCACTTCTGACATACAGACTGCTGAGCACATGCACTAAGGCTGAGAGGAGGGATGCACTGAATGTTGAAAATTGGCTGCCTGCGACGCTGCGGGCGGGACCGAAGGTTGCACAGGTGGTGGAGGTGGTGGCGGAGGAGGCTGCACTGGGGTCTGCGTGTTTGGAGAAGGAGGAGGAGTGGGACGTTTAAATTTGTCGGGGCTGTTACTTCTTCGTGGTGAAGGCCTCTGCAGAACAAATATTGAAATCATGTTTAACAACACTCCTGAACAACGTCGGGTGCAAGTCCTCTAATCTTGGCAAAGGAAAAAAAAAAATCAGAACAATTATGTGGGAAGAATAAATTTCAAAACATTGCAAGAGTCACAATACAACTTTTACATAAAATAAACGTTACTCTGAAATGGAGTAGCAAAGGGAAGGGGAAGTACTCTTGACATCAAACAGACCATGCATTCCTTCCTGTTAGCTTGCAGGAAATGAACACAAGACATGTCATGTCCTGAAGATATGTTTACCCATCATGACCAGCGACCTAAAAAGAAATGAGAGATGCTGCAGGCACAGCACCTCCCAGCTGTGCCTGCCCAACCAGTGGGTGCTGATGAACCTTTGACTTCATGCTGCTGGCATATGAGGTACAACTATGTGGTACCTGAGTGTGGGTGGAAATGTTTTGAATATCAGAGAGTCTGCCCAGAATCTCTAGCTCTCTGAAAGATTCTTAAGCCCACACACTGGAGTAAGACCACAGCATAAAACAAGTTGTTCTTTGGAAAACAAAACAGATTACAACCTTTTGAGCTGCATGAGTGAAGCAGTTGTTAGAGAGACCCCCTGAACAGAAACCACAGATTTTCAACAATTTGCACATTTAAACACAAATATTTAAATCCCACTTTATCTTTACAAACCGGGGGGGGTGGGAGGAGGAGAGTGATCATCTTTAAATGTTAGCAATGTAAAAATATAAATTACATTGCAGAAAACTAACTTCTGCACTTTTGAAACAAAAATGCTAATTACTTACCAATCCAGTTAGCATTAATCAAGAACCTCATGGCATGACAAACCACCCACCCACAATTAATAATCAATCACAGGTGATCAGCTCTGGGGAGAAGCATGATTACACTTCTATACCAAATGTACTACAGGTAAAGTCAAATTTATTCTGTAACGGAGATCAAAAATGAAGAGTCAAGAATCAAACTGCAATTTAGTCAAATAAGTATATTGTATCTATTTTTCTGCACAACTATGTACAATAGTTTAATGTTCTATGCAAAAGCCAAGGGACTCTTGACAACTGATTGTTGTCTCTGAAACACTTAATATCATTTATTGCATTTGCATACATCTAATAATATGAAGGGACCTGGCATCAGTACTGAGACAAAGCCAAGAGCTACTTATCACCACCTTTCTCAGAACAATTAGTGTTTTGTCCTGAAGATGATCTTTTTCATAGTGACTCAATTCATTCACATTTCAGAAAGAGCAGTATTTTTATAGACGTTGAACAGAACAAGTTTCTTGAAAAACTTATTTATAAAATTAGTTTCCAGGTTTCCCAGAAACATGACTAACTCATGTGACACACAGCCACGGGCTGAACCTGGACCAGGATTCTACCTTCCTGCTTCCTTCCTGTTCTACCCACCATTGTAGCATCTCCACCCCCCTTTGCTCAAGGAAATTGTAACAATTACCTTTGCACACCCACCTAAACCATGGCAGAAGCAGCTGTATTTCAGCATTGTACTAAAAATTCTATTGAAATAAGTTTTCACATGTGAGAATGACAAGTATAAGCAAAAACCTTGAACGATATTTACATACTACCATACCTGCTGAGAAAAATCAAATTGGTCTTGACACAACAACTGTAAGGTCTTTTGCCAAATGGTTAATATTTAGGCTCTGTTTTTGCTCATTAAACTCCACAAATATTTAGAAGAAACATGATGAAGCAGAAATGCACCAAACATCGCAGGTAAAAAGGAAATAAATTCAGTTGAAAGATATGAGAAATTGCCCTAGCAAATGTTTATATTAACTTTCTTCTTTGCCAATGAGAATAGAAAATAAGAGTTAACTGCCTGTTACAGTGACATGATGGTAGCATTGTGTGTCATCCTGAAGAAAACCTGAGCTTGAAGCAACCTCAGATGACTCATCCGTCAGATGGTGGAGACTAGGAGAAAAATGAAAGCAATGTTTTTACTTCCTGGGATAGGCTTAGTAGCTTAGAACATCACTTTTCACACCCTGCCTGCTGATCCATAAGATGATACCTATTACTGTCCTTAAGATGATAATACATCCTATTCTTTTGCAGAAAATAAGGTTCTCCAAAAAGAATCAGTTTCTGAGGGGTGAAGAGGAAAATCAGGGTTGAAGAAAGCAGCAATAGATATCTCGGAGTAAGGAGACAAAAACAAACATTTACACAAATATTTCGTAAAAAAGCTTAAGGACAAGCAATCATAACTTTTAAAAAGCAAACTATATTGTAATAAGTATTTACTATTTTAAATACTTACTGTAATACCATGGGATGGTCCCATATGTTGCAAATGAAGGCCTGGGGAATTGTAGTAAGACATTCCAGCTCTAGTCAGTGAAGTTGGTGGTGTGAAACCAACTGTGTGACTTGCATATGACAGACCTAAAATTGTTAAAACAAGGTAACATCAACATTCTTGTTTCATATTAAAAACTAAAGTCTGAGGGGGTTTTTAAAATTTTTTGGTTCTGAATCAATGATAGGTTAAGAACTGGTAACTCCTGCAGATTAGACATCTAAGATTTATTGATCATACTGAAAAGTGTGATGTGAAATGATTTTCTTTTCCTGTAGCATACTACCATATGATTCAAACATAAATTACACAATGTTAAACATAACTTTTCACTTAAGATAAATGGTGTAAGGCTCCCCTAGTAGCTTAGTTCACAATTATTTCCATCCAGCATTCCATTTCTCCACAGAGGAGATGGCTCCCTGAATAACATCCTGGGAAATGTTACTAGCTTGGATTAGGCTAACAACTAACATTTAAAATTATAACTAATTTTATCCACATTAAAGAAAGCCTAATATTCAGAAGTGTAAATATCTAATTCTTTCAGCTAAGTATTTCCTTTCTGTAAGAACTCAAGTTATAAAAATGCACAGTACTTGTATAGCTAACCAAGGTAAACAGAAACAGCAACTGCTAAATGCTTCAAGTTCAGACCTTGAAGTGTTCTGAACAGTTTGAGTATTTATCAAGAGAGCACATTTTCCAAAACCTTTAGCTTGCTTCTGCTTTCTGACAAAACTATCACTAAGGTAGGAGACAGGACTTTTCTGAGTTGTTTACTATTAGACACAAGCAACTGCTTTGGAGAATAATGACCAATAAAAATTTCTGAAGGTCTCAAACTTTTATAACACAGCACTGGATTTAACAGTTCTCACACTTGAGAACAGTGCCACAGCAGCTACAGCATGGACCAACACCCAGCACCATCCCTGACTGCAGGTGTCTGTTTGTCCCTACAACAGATGAGACAAGATCTTGGGGAGGAAACAGAACAAGCCTGAGATCACTAATAAAGTCATATAAGCAAACAATCCTCTTGCTTCCTTTAATTCTGTTTGATTCTGTTACATCCCCAATGTACGTTTGGTGCAAATTATGAGTGACTCCAATGGAATAACTGCCACTACAGAGTAACAATGAAATTAATCTGCTTTGACTACACAATCTAATTGCCTGTAGAGCATTTATGCTATATTTAAGTGTTTTTGTAAGCACAAGGACAGAAACAATATTCAGGGAGGTGACAATGTGTTGCGAGTCAGAGGCAAATTTTTAGAAGAAAAGGCAATATTTTTAGAAATAAAAGGCAAAATATATGCTTCAAGTCAACCTTTGTAACATAACAATTTTGAACTGCTTTGGGATAATCCACCTCCACAAGCTTTACAAACTCAAGTCTACACAGCAGACAAAGATGTGAAAACAGGCAGCTCATCTCCGCAGCCCAAAATCTCTATCTATCCCAGCTACAAAGCCTAAACCAGTTTATCTTCACTAAAGACTAACTGGTAATTAGACCAGCTAATCCCCAGCTGCCCAGGAGTAGCAATAATTACACTGTCTTCAAAGTTCCATGCACTGTGCTAGAAATCTCAGCAGTATCTCAGCTTCAAAGAGTCCTCAAAAGTAGCATCCCAAGCACAAAAGGCTCTGGGAATCAGGAGCCAGAATCTGACCATTAAACCTGACCAGTTATCCATATGAAATTATAGCATTTCTAACCAGTTACAAATTGTTTCCACACATTTGGGCACACCATTTCCCAAATGAAACATGCCAAGTCACACAGTTACTTGATGCAAAATACAACTGTTGTATTATTCTGTACTGATGCTTTTGATATTATCTTCCTGTGCTACTTTGGATACAAAGTACTCTCAAAAACTACTTGTTTTCATCCATTACTGCATTCATATATCCCAGACAGCTCTACGAAATTCCCTATTGATCTCATTAGTTCTCTATCAAATTGCTGCTTCTATTTTTCTGAAGTCTGAAACTTCCCAGCTGTGGATATTAATTTATCAGATGCAAAGGAGAGTAATGCAGCTGCCTGTGCAGAACTGCTGGCCTGGAACATTTACATTTACCAAAATTTCCAAACTTGTGAACTCTGTTAGAAACTACCACTTCAGCTGTGCTATTTTCAACTCTGATTCAGACTGTGTTTCAGCATCCCCTGTCTGTGGGATGTAATTCCCACTAGAACATTGCACTCTTGTATCAACTACTGATGGGAAGTCCACAGGGAACAAGGAATATGCTTCGGTCCCAGTGTAGGAACGGAGTACTCCTGCACTGACACACCAGCATCTAAACAGGGTGCATTGCTAAGTAATCAAAGGTGCAAGCCTGTCAGTTCCCAGTTAATCTGTCCCCCACACAGCTGTAATTTTAACCACTGTGTGGCCTGCAGACACAGTGTGCAGTAGAAGAACTCTGCATTATTATGCAGCCTGCATGTGGATAACCACAAACGCCCGCAGTGGTCATCCCAGAGAAGCTGTTGGCAAGACTGCATTTCTGTACACCCACTTACAGGAAATGGATAAGCCACTTTCTTGGTAACATATATTGCAAAACATTTAAAGTCAAGTGATTTGGCTCATTGCAGCAGAGCAAAATTCTCCCAAAAACTCGTAATCATAATGCTCATCTCTAACACCGAAGCACAGCTTATGGCCACAGCCAGTTTTCACACACACTCGCTCCTTTTACAACACCTGGATGAAAACCATTGAGAATCCTTTGAAAAACTAAAGCTAACCTTGAAAATTAAAACAATTTGAAGACATTTTATATGTTCTAGCAGACCTGTGTAATAAAATGTCTCATTCCTATCTTGCAGAATGTGTCAATACAGAGCACATCTCGCCTGCAGTGTGGGACCCTGTCCAGCAGGTTCTAAAGGTGAACCTGGGAAAGCAGGGCACAGAGGATTCACTTCATTATGTAGAAGTGAGTTTGTGACTGCCATATAACATTCACAGCCAACAACATCTAATGAATGCCCAAGTGCAATTTTAAGGGATTTTTAAATTTCAGTCAATAAATGTGTTAGTAACACAAATACATTTCCTTTGACTTACATTCAGTAATTAGAAACCCAGAAAACGTTTGTTTGCCTCTATTATAAAAAGCACCTGAGACAAGAATTCTTAATTTTGTAGTTATTGTTTAATAATAGAAAATAGCAGAAGTACAAAAGCCATTTCTCTACTAAAGAGAAATGAAAACTGACTTTTCCCCAACACGTTCAAGACAAGACTTCTCTAAGAAGTTTTGATTCAGAACACAACAGCAGTCTCATTGCTAGTTCATCATCAAACCCTAGAAATCCGTTTGAATTATGTGTCCTGTTGGGCAACTTGGTGGGGGGAGGGAGGAAAAAAAAAGACAGCAAGAGAGAAAATGAGAGCAAAAAAGAAATAAAAGTTCAAGTGTGACAGCTACACTGGTCTTTAACATCCGTTCACAAATCCAAAATATATAATATCTGTTCACCATCCCAAAACATGTTGCACTAGGAGACCCCTAAGGCAAAACTATTCTTGCATTTATGATGCAGGATTTTTTCTCCAAACTAGCTTTGAAAGGCTACTGACCTAAATATATTAATAGGGCACGTTACTATGTGATGCATACAATAATTTTAGAAACTGGGTTAAATATTTACCAGGTGATATAGGTCTGCTAGAACTTGGTGAGGGTGTATAAGGGATAGGACTGGACACAGTGCGAGGTCTTAATCCTTGTGCAGACATCTCATTAAAATATCTAACAAAAAAAGGCAAAGAATAATTAGATCAAACCTTTTAAAATGTGCCACGTTGTAAATGTTTCACTGTGATTTTTTTCAATTCCCATAAGAATCACATTAGATTAATGAAGGACTAGTCACCTTTAGGAAGTCATGACAGGAGCTTTTGTCATTGCTGATACTGGCTTAACTTTCAGTGAAAACAGCTGGACTTATCCTAAGGCATTTGCAGTTAAAACCATATAAGTTCCATATGATCAGAATAGTACATATTAAGGTGAGAGATATAAACCATGCCATCCAAACTGACCTATACTACATTCTTGCACTTTATACATCATTTCTACATTGAACTCAATAGCTTGTCTGGCTGGAGTGCATCTTCCAAAAAGACATTCAGCACTAATCTGAAATCATGAAAAGGGGGAAAAAAATCATTAAAGTACTAATAATTTGATCCAACAGCCAATCAGCCATATCCTTAAAACATGCCCAGTTTCCTACTTGAATCCCTCTGGTCTCAACATTTAACCATTTGCTCTTCCTGCCTTTTGCCACTGGAATAAAGAGACATTTTCAACCCAGGACTTTCCCTCACTAAAGGTATTTGCAGGTTGTGTTGCAAGACACCTCCCACATTTCACTGTGATAGACTGAACAGATTAGAACCTCAGGCAAGGCATTTTTCCTCACCTGTAATAACTTTAGTGATATTTATTTGTTCTTTACTCACTGAATACAGTGAAGCTTCTTCACAGACATTAAGTGATATATAAAAGCAGATAAAAGATAATACCAATTGCTCCTACTTGCCACTTGCTGTTTTTATCTCAAAAGAAATTCTGGGGTTTTTTCATAGCACTAGGCTGGCAGCTTTCAGGTTGAGTTGCTTATGCACTCTCCACCTAGATTTTTCAGTCGCTGTCTAGATTAGATGCTCCCCTGCTCACCTTCTCCTGCACATGTGGTTGCAAATCAGTGCACCTGGGTTTATAATATTAGATTTAGCTGTGTTTCTTTAGTGGACACAGCAAAGCAGCAGGCAAAATTAGCTAACTATTGACTGTTACTTGACTCCCTTCTACCACTGTGTTCTCAGAAATTCTGGGGAGCTGCATTTATGTCCAAACATGGGGGGAAAAAAAACCAGTAATGTGAAGCAGCACTAAAAATACTCCTATCTGATGGAACTCACAACGACTACTTTGAGGTCTGTTCATAAACTATTTGAAACATGTTTTGATACTGCATCTTGCTGATTTCTAACCAGAATATTCAGTCAGAGCCACATGTCCTAGCACAGGCAGTACACTGTAGTGATATCGAAGTCGGTTTGAATTTGGGTAGATCAGGTAATAAAAGTAGCTGCAATAGAGAACAACACAAAACTAACCAACTGACAAATCAAGGTTTAATTAAACATAGTTTTCTAAAGAGCTACCAGTGGCAAGGTTGGTGGAATTGAACTGACTGGGCTACCTCTGCAACACACAGGAACTTGCAATGCAGACAAGTCCATGTGTTACAGCAAGGCAGCTTCTTTGTGACTTCAGCACCTTGTACTCTACACAAATGAAATTTTCTGTAAGTCATCCTAGTACTTGGATCAGGTGATATGGAACAGCAGCACACCCTTAGTTTACTCCCTGGTCTCAGGAAGAATAGGATGGAGGATTGAAAAAACAAAGCTATCACTAGTCAGGAGGGAGAGGTTTTGGGAGAGCTGTGTATTTTGCAGTCAGTATAGCATCTTCATCTACCCCCATCTACAAACAATAAGTACAATCAGCTAACAGAATGCAACTCAGAAAATGGATATCTGATCCACACCACCATTTTTAGGAAGGTGTAAGTTGACAAAAATTTACATTTTAAAATCATTACTGCACATAATTCCACAAGTGTTTCGTATACACAGTGCTTCCAAGACTAACCACTGATGCCTGACTCATCCTTCCTTTTGCTTTGTATTACTTACACTGCAAATACCTGCTTTGGAGCTATTCTGTCAAGCCTTTGTAGTACCACAAAAATCAACTTGACAATTAATTTCTTAGAAGTACAGAATAGTTAATCAAATTTTCCTGCATTTTATAGGTTACTGCTACCTACAAGTGCTTGACAAAAAACATTATGAGGATACTTTACAATTTTAGATTAATACTGGTAATTCACATAGATTTAGATTCTTACTGTACTTCCATTACATTGTAAATACTGGAAGAAAATATTAGGCTAATAAAAAAAATATTCAAACACCAGAATCCTGTCTTTCTAACAATTTAATTTGTATAGTATTCGCTACGTCTTAACACCGGATGCTAATTCAATATATGCCAAGTTGCCATAGTATTTCATTAAAATGAACACACTACTTTGAACCTTAAGGGTACTCCTTGACACAAAATATCTGGTACTTTGTTTCTGGTAAATTAGAACAAATACACTGACGACCCAAGAATCTCTCAGTATCAGAAGAATACACAGCGCAGGGTAATTTTTTTATTTATTCTGAAGGACCTCTATAAATCCAAAACAGTGTAAAATAATACAACAAAATAAGGAGCATTTGATAAGAAATGAGAATGTTTTATTCAAAACGTACTTAAAATCCTCTTTCAAGATACAACACTGTCATATGACTACGAGGTGAGAAAACACTAAAAGGCATGGTAAAAAAACATCAAAAAGTCAGGATTATCTGTAAGGTCAGTGCAAGCAAGCAGCCTGCAATAGAGAAAAAAAAAAGAAATCAAGGATATTATGGTTTGGACATCAAGAACAACCCAACAGTTCTGGAAATGCTTCCTCTCTCCAAGGCTTTACACAGTATCCCTTTGTACTTGGCTGAAGATACTTTACTTTCTGCAAAGGACGAATTAGGTCCAAGTAAGGATATTGTTTCTACCTCACAGAATTCCTTCCAATTACCAAGTCAGGGGCAAAACAGAGTTACTGTGATCAAATTATCCTGATTCGTAACTCCACAGCCATATTTATTTCAATATACATGAAGATTAAGTGTTTTGATAACGTACAAATATTTTCTTCCTCACTGTTAAAACTAACACAATTTCTACACAACTTTGATACAATTCTACTGAAAATATTTCAGGACTATGTTGAAATTTGATATTTATATTAAACTCACATACAGGTTATTTTTATGCTTATTCTATAATATTCTAAAAGCAGTATTGATAAATAAGTCAATGCCAGATCTGGGTGGCTAAAAGATACAAACCTTTCATCGTCCATTTCTAAGCTGGATTCACTCTCTGACAGTTGTCTGCACAGTGCTTCCCTACGTTCCATTTCCCTCTGTAATTTTCTTTGAAGCCTCAAGTTTTCTTCCCTCATATGCCTCTCCTCTTCTAAATATTGTGCCATCTTCTCTGAATCTGAAATTCAAAATTTTGTTAACATTTGATTAAAATTCAATTTCCCAGCGCGCTTAATTTTATGCCAATGCTTCGAGATGAGGGTGTAGGAACTGCTCAGGATAGATCACTCAAAATTTTCATCTCTAAGTTATTACCTCAAAGCCAAATTCAGAACAGTAACTACTAAAACAAACTATTGCTTGACTGCAATTTTTGAAATGAAATGTAAAAAAACCTCCACAAACAAACAAAAACAACAACAAAAAAGTCCTAAATTTGAAAAGAAAGGACAAAACATCATGAAGAAAATAATGTGACTAAAACCATTAAGAAGAAATACTGATTCCTTCTCCCTTAAAATAATGCTATTCCACATTTACAGGGACATTTACAGTTGTCTTCCTGCAACACATAGAAGAAATTATTTTAAAGGTATATTTTCATTTCAAAGGAGGAAGCATAAGTTCTGAAACTCAAACTTGTATTAAAATTGATACTTTACATGTATTCTACAGCATTCTTTCAATTACACATTTTGTCACAGAAACTGGCTAGCAAAACATGTACTGATATTAAAATATTTATATTAAAATTACATTAAATTTTGGTATAAAAAGTCAACAAGAGGCTTACTCTTTATATCAAAGGGCAACTTGAATTTTCGATTCTAAACAAGTTCAGCAAACATCAATTAAATTGTCTGGTAACACAGATTATTTAAAGTGATAAAATCAAATTATGGAAAGTTATGAAGCATTGTGACAGGTTACTTATATGAAATGGAACAAATGATGAAGACTTGACACACGTATTTTGTGAGATTTTGTAATGTTTGATCAAGTTTAAAGTTAAATCCTTGATATTTAAAAATGTTTCATCATGTTTTGTGATCACTTCTTTATGCAGCACCCTTCAATGAAAAGAATATTCCTCTCTTAGAAGACTGTTCCCAAACTATGAACAACATGTGATTTATCTCTCTTCTGTGGAAATACCACTCCTAAATGTAACAGTATCACTTATTTTAAAATATTATTATACCAAAACAGTTCCTAGAATTGCTTCGGAAATAAAAAACGCAACACAAATATCAGACTTCAAGAAGACTTCCTTCAATATTTATGAACAATACTAGAGGATCTCTAATGACCACATATTGCAAAGAGCAAACTGAAAACTATTTCAGCTTCATCTTCTGCCTTGCAGGCACATCCATCATTCCTATCAGCACTGCTACTCGTACTGCAGCGCTGTTCAACCTGTTCACAAAGGGAAAGAGTACTTTCAAACCTACATCTTATTGTCAGTGAGAATTTGACTTTCAGTGCTTTCAATTTTTTTCTACTCTAAATCACAGTAATTCAAAAAGGAACCACTTAGAAATAATAGAGGATACTTGAAATAAAATTAATGAGGCTAGATTTGTACACAGAGTACTTTAAACGTAAGGCCTTGCTCTTGTTCTGAACTTCAGTAAGCGAAGGCTGCAGCGCAGAATTGGAAAGTACAAAGATTAGCTGTCCTTATCTTCTTTTAACAGCCACAAATTAATAATACCACAAACTTGCACACAAGGTCTGTGCACAAGAGCACTCCTGATCCATCATGTCTGTCTTAGAGGAAGGCCACTGCCTCTGGGAAGCGATTTCTCTAAATGGAGGTTGAAATATCCCAGTTGGCCTGTCTAGATCAGCACACCAGAGGGGGACAGTGTTGCTTGTTCTGCACTCACACAGATTTTTCTGTCTCTGTGGTGAGGTATCTACCTGCTTACCAGCTGCAATATAACACTACTGACTAGGAACTAGGCAGAACTGATAAAAATGAGACAGAAATTTCAGATACAGCACGAAGGAACGAAGGACTGGCATTACAAAGTTCATGGCAAGGTGCAAGAAGCTTTCTGCCAGCTGAGCCCACGTGCTCAGGGCCACAGCCTCTTCTCCGGGAAGGCAGGGCAAAAATGTTTTAATCCAAACTTGCCCTATTTTTTATCACTTCTAGTTTAAATTCAAACTCAAGAAAGAACATATAAAAATCTTACATTAAACGAACTTTATGAGATTTGAAACAAGTTGTTTACTCACGCTGTAGCTGTGCAGCCCTCAGTTGTTTCTTTAACCTCTCCACTTCATTCTTTAAAAACCTGATATGTCTCATCATATTTTCTGGAGAGTCTATTTCCATTGATATGTCTCTGGGTGATGGTGGAGCAGATACTGGCTGGTCTAATTTCTCCTGCAAAATTCTATATGGAAAAACAGTTCAAACCTTACCTTCCACTCTAATGAAAAGAAAAAAAACTCTTGTATCTCTCAGAAAGCCACTGCAAGGATTCTGACAGGTATTTAGGATTTATTTTACCTACTGGTTTTGGTGAGATAAATTTGGGAGGATTTATATTGTTTTCTTTTGTAATTCAAAATAAAAAAAGGTAAAATATCCAGACATTGATATTTCTAAATACTTCTGCATACAGTTCAGGAAAAACAAATTCTCGACTATATGGAGTTATCTCAGTTTTATATTCAAGTGCTACCTATTTAAAAAATTTTTGCTAAGCAAATTCATTAAATCTGAGTTTTTACATTTAAGTTCTTAGACAAAGAACACACAGTGAAGATTAATGATGAGTAAAGTATGTCTATGGTGAAACACAAGCTTTTCTCATTTCAACACTACTACGAAAAGAAAAAACTTCACAAATATTTTCTGAAGGATAGTCAAACAGTCTCCCCCCCTTTTTTTTTTAATCTCCAAGGAATTAAGATTTTCCATATAGTCATAGTTTCAAATACCTCAAATAACTGATGGTAAATTCAGGAGTAATGTAATTCTCTTATGAAATACGCACATGGTAGATATTATATGTTCCAAATGATGGGTTTGGGAGTTAACACAGGAAGAATTTTACAGCCTGAAGGCATGAAACTGTTCTTTACTGGGAACATGTTGACTGGCCAGACCCAACTCTGCCCCAAAGAGCAGGGACAGCACTATGCAAGCACAACTTTTTGCACGATGTGGTATTCACATGGACCATACAAAGTGTGCTAAAGCAAGGTCTGATCCACCATGGCTCCTTGTATGAAGGCACACAGTCTGAGATAAATTAAACCAGAAATAGTTTGCCTTGAAGAAGGCTTTAAATCTAATATACACAAAAATCCTACCAAAGGCTCATCCTGCTATGGATTTACCACTGCTGAATACCACATGTAGCTCTGCACCCTCCACAGAGAGGGGCTCTGTAAAATAAAACTACAAAACCTGCTCTTCACTTCGGATCAGGTGTTTTTTGAGGCCCCAGTCAAGATTCAGGGAGTCACACTAACATAAATGTATTTAAATATGTAGGGGGGAAAAAAGCTATTAATCATTATTAATCATTATTCTCCCCAACTCCCTCCCAAAACAGAGTTCTTATATTATGACATTAAAGAGATGGTTGCTTTCATACATACTTTTAATTTTAGCTTTCTCAGGAATATAAAGAGTCACTGTCTTAATTTCTACTAAAGAAGCAGTGAGAAGTCTCAATGACATGGGTGCACACCACTGAGAAAAACCTGAAGTTTTCTTTGAACAGATAGGGAAAAAACCAGAGCCTTTCATAAAACAAATACAGTAAAATACTACGAAATTAAAGCTGACCACATACCTGAAGCTTTAGAAAAAGGCTATGAGCAGTTGAAATAATTCAGTAAATTCCTTCATGCTTTCCCAAGTAATTTCTTATACTATTTATCTTTAACTACTTTAAGCAATCAATTATGTCTTATCATGCAAACAAGGAGCTTTACAACTGCTATAACTTCCAGGGTTTCACAGATCAAACAATTCTTATGGGACAGAAATAAAGATAATTAATCCAGAACATTGTGTATTAAAAATCTCTCCCATAGTAACAAGTGTACTGCAACATGACAAACCGTTTTTCTGCTTCAAGTTTATCCATTCTCTTCCAGAGACGATTCACTAGTGCTTCTTGTTCTTGTTCCAAAGTATTTTCAAGGTCAATCTTCTCACGTCTTAGCTGGACAGGAAAAAGAATTAATGAAAATGATGGGCATGTATTTTTTGTCAGGAAAGATCCCTGCTCTAAAAACTGCATTTTAAATAATGCTCTACAACAGCAAGGGGAAGGAGAGACAAAATTCAGGCACAATGCACTGGTCACAGAGCCAGTGAAAAATCAAGAGATTCAGTAGTTTCACAGTTGTCATGGAAGAGAAGCCATGTTTGCCTTGTGTCAGATAAAGGAGTGACATAAAAATAGTAAAGAAAAAATTATGTGAACTGTATCAATTCTTATTAGGAAAACAAATGCAGTTCTGTCCTCCTAGCAAAGGCTTCATAAAAGTAAAAGCTTAACTTGACATTACTTATGTTCAGTTACTGTGTGAACAAACATTCTTGATTCTACTGTAAGTTAATATAAGAAGATATAATGTAGGACATTCTACTATAAGTTAATAATAACACCATACATGAAGAAATCTATTATTAGTGCTTAAGTAGAAATACAATGCAAGTATTAATAATACAGGAGAATATTAAGAGGCACAGATGATCTTATTCAGTAACAATGTAGCTGAACTCTTCAAAAAGTTAGCAATAATGAAATATTTGGGAACAGATCAACACAGGTGGAAATAGCATAGAGGCATTTTTCCCAGTCAGGACTTAGTTAGTACCACTTTTCTGATGGGTAAATAATCTCACATTAGAAAATGGAAAGACTGAAAACAGATTAAGGGATTTCCTCACACATTTACAGCATCACTGGGTGAAGGGCTATTACAGCATCTAAATCTGTAAGGGCTCTGTGCTAACCACTAAATTCATACTGAGAAACCCAAACCAAACATGAACTTACTTCAGGTAACAGTGCAAGTTTAACAAAAGAACAACTTTCTTTTTTAAAGGTTAGAGGAATTAGTGACTGTAAGTAAAAATAGACATAATATCGATGAGTAATAGGGATCATAACTAGAAAAAGAAACACTGGTTAGCAAATCTTTGAATGAAAAAAGTTTGAATGCAGATCATGACCACTGCAGCAATGGTTTTTGCATAATTTCAATGCAGCATGGTTTAGACTCACCCTCTTTTACTGTTTACTACTATGTTATTGATCTAGCAACAAACAAACCCACAAAAACATAGAGGTGAAAAGAAATTAATTTCTTTTAATGGTAGGAAGAGCAGCACACTGGAATTTGAAGACAGAGTACATTATTTATAACCGTGGATTTGAAAAATCTAAGATTACATTTAGTATTATAGCAACCATCACCAAGGCAGTGGAGTCCATTAATTATAAATCTGCATGTAGGGTGAGTGTGCACAATGGCAAAGTCGAATCATTGGCAACAATATTCAAATAAGCTTTGTGGTGTGTCCTGAAAGCTGCTCTGATGAAACACCAAAGAAACCAGGTTGTGAAACAGATCTAAAATTCCACACTTCCAGCAATATGAAAACATACTAGAAACAGGTATCTTCCTTTCCTGATTTTGAGTGTTGTCCCAGTGCCTCCCAGTGTGAGGATATTAAAGCTCTGAGGATGAACACCTTGAACTGAACCTACAGAAGATGCAACTGCAGCATCCTAATCAGAGAACTGGTGTATTTGGCTTCGTACTGGATAGTTTCAGGTGTACTTTGAAACGTACTCCAGTCAATGAATCTGTTAAAAATGTGACAGTATTCGAAAAATGTGATAATAGTCTGAACTACAATAAGCAGGATGGGATTATATCTCAGGACCAAGCCAGCAGCTCTTGCAATACTAATGTCATTCCACATGGGTTCAAAGTCACATTCCAATCAAACATCATTTAATTTTTACCATCAGAACAGGGAAACAAGGAAGTATTACTTGCTTTTTCAGACCTTAACCTTCCCTTCAGAGGAAAAATTCCGTTTAACCTTCCTGACACACAATTATGTTTCTTTTCACCTCTCTTTCACACATGCACTTACTTTACTTTAAAATACAGCTAAAATATCCATTGACTGTGTATTCCTGGATTATTGATTTTCAATTTTCTTGACAACTGATTAACAAGCACAACTGTTCCTTCCTGAAATGTAGATCTTCCAAATCAATGACAGTTGAATATGTTGATCTCTGCCTAAGCCCACTACACCAAATTTAACTTCTCTGCTTCTTGTCTGTCCCTTCCCCTTTGTAGCTTTAATTCTCTGCTGCTCTCCAAGAAAATCTTTCCAGAAGATTTTACACATTTCATGTTGTTCTCCTTTCAAAGAAGACACAGGAGATGACTATTAGCAGTTTAGTTCTTATTTTTCATCTCCTAGCTGCATCCATTCTAGTTTCTCACTATACTGTATGAATTAGAAAAGCACTTAAAAATAGTAACAGCAAGACTACAAACACTTGGCCTCTGTAGGACAAAACTGACAGCTATTTATTTCCTATCAAGGCACTGAACTGTACACAGAACATTATTGCTCATTTTAACTGAGCCATTCAGTTAATGAAACAGTCACATGCTGCAAATTTCTCCACCATTACCCTTCAGAGAAGAATGTTCTGCTGACTTCAAGCTGCCAAATTATTTCAGGTCACATTTGAACCCTAAGATCCAACTAAATTTTTTATTAAGGAATAACATTCTACGCAACCACTACTGCTACAACCTATTGATCACCTGTGGCACAAGCAGTTCAGATGAAAAAAAGCAAAGGAGACAAAGCACAGATGTTCTCTATTTTAAGAATAATAGTTTAGTGAACATATGTTGTAATTATCTGCTCACTGATTAGTGACAGATCTAGTACTGCAGCCCAGTTCAGAGCATTGTTGAAGTCCTCTTTCCAAGCCCTGTTTAACAGGTGTTCCAAAGGTTATGTGGAAGTGTGGTGACAATCTCTCCTAATTCCCTGTGTGTTGCCCCTAAAGGCAACATGGCTCTGCTCACAACTTGTGGTTGCTTGGTAGGTACAGCACCAAAGGCTGCTGCTTCAGCTCGTTAATTAGCACAATAAACTTTTGTTATTTGTGCAAGGGAAGAAAGCATGGTGAAGTTCAAAGTAACTTGAGATTTATGAGACCTTACAGTGAGAGGAAACAAAGGCAGATGTTGCATTACATATACATACACAAGGAATTTCAAAGCAAGACTGACAGCCAAATTTAACATCTTCACAAACAAAGTAAGTCTTCAAGGTCAGATATTTGAGAGAAAGACCTTCGTGCATCTATGCTTTTTGAACAATATATCATTGATATTTAAATGTAGCAGCCAGTTTCAAATTTTATGATTTCACAAGTCTGTCTGCCCGGAACAATGATACAAAAATAAATACCATTAAGATTTCAGCTGTGGCTCATGTTCAAAGATGACAACAGCCTAGTATGTTAAGCTGACTTTGCATTTGGATTAAATGGTGGCCACCACCACCTTGTGGCTAAGAGAGTTATTTCAATCTCATGATAATTTCCATGCTGGTTATGGATTTGCTGGCAACTACATCTTCCTACCTTTCTATTTTTCGATTTGTTCCATAGGTCTCTTCGTACAGAATGTTAGCATTAAGAATCAAGAAAACCCATTTGATCATTTACATAGCCATTAATTAATTTATCCATGCCAACAGATATAGGAGACCATACAAAACTGGTAGAAATTTGGATTGCCAGCAGCAGAAAAGTTCCACAGCAAAAGAAATCACAGAAATAATGCACTAGATTTACACCACTCAGATTGTTGGACCTCCACATCTCAGAATAATCTGAAGTTCTTTAACAAGCCCACAGGTTTCATCAGTTTGCCTTTTAAGTCAAAAGGTCTCCTATTAACACCACTGAGATGCTCTGATGCACGTGCCTAAAATTAGACATAATGTCTAAAATTCCAGTTGAAACATGACTAAAACAAGTGGTGTTTTATCTCTGCAATCTTCAGGACTGTCTGGGGAGATGGGGCCTTGGATGTAGTCAAATCTCTTGAAGAACACACACAGCTGACATCTCCCAGTTTGAGCCCTGTGCTCTCCAAGCTGCCACAATAAGGTGACCTGGAGCACAGCTAGACCACACACAGAATGTTCACTGCTGTGCTTAACCACCATCGGAAGTGACAGTGCATTATTTACAAAAAAGTTGCATTTGCAAAACTCACTGCTGTCCAGCAGACATGAAGGCCTGCAGAAAGGCTACTGAAAGTTATAATGGCCGTGAAAAAAAAGTAATCAAAGTTTTGCATGATGAATTACGTTACTGATTATTGCTTTGAAAGTAAAACTACTGACTTTTCTATGTTCTTGATATTGCCCAGTTTCTTATATACTCAAAAAATTAAGTCAAATCTAATACAAAGAAGTATTTGTTTTCTTCTCAGTCTTATAATTCTGAAAGGAAGGAATTACCTGCTCCAGGGTGAGCTGCTTCGAAATTGTATCGTTTTCCAGTTTTTTAATCTTCTTCATCAGTTTGTTCACTTGAAATTCCTGTTCCTGCTCTAAATGCTGCTCCAGTTCAGCTTTCTCATGTTGCAGCTAAAAATTTTAGAGACATGAAAATATTTTAAACACACAAACAGAAGTATGAACTTAGGCACCTTTTATATGTCTATTTACACATTTATTCTTACTTCATGTTAAATTCTCTACAGATAAGACTTCTCAAAACACTTCAAAATGCACAACCCACCCAAGAGCCCTTCAAAAAGGAACTGTGCTGCATATTTACAAAGCAGATTGAAGTACATTTCCAATTATTGAATTAAGTTAAATCAAAATAGATTATTTTATATGCTATATATAATGTATTACAGACATCTTAGAAGTAAAAAAATCTATCATAATGTTAACAAAAGCATTAATTTTATTCTAAATGCATCATCTCAAGAGCACCTAAAGTATAAAATGCAGGTCTTAGCACTTTTCTCCCAGGCAGCTGAAAGCTTAAAATTATGACTGAAGCCATACTACTGAAATTGCTGTGTAGCAAGTTTAAAATCAACAAAAGGAATTTCTAATTTATATCCCTGTGCTGTCAAGAATCAAAATATTTTGATGACATAGAAATACTGGTCATTTCAATGTTATAAATTTTCTTAACACTCAGGGGAATTGTTTTTTCATCCAATGAAAAAAAATCTTTACTCTCAAGCAGATGGAAATAAAAAGCCCTCCTCCATTTTAAGATAAATGATGGTTGGAGTAGAGTCACTTTTAACAATAAAGTCCAAATCACAATAAAATCCCTCTGAGACAGGGATCCAAGTCTTCCTGTGTGTAAAACAGTGTGTCTGGCACCACGGTATGAACACGTGAATCTGAGTCAGGAAAAAGCAAATGTCACCAAAAGACAATGGTGTAATTACATTGTGTTCTGACCATGCACTGAAAATTGCACCTTTTTCCACCTGCTTATTTGCTATGCCAGTTCTTCTGGCTATCACATAACAATTTCTAAGATCATAGTGTTTAAATGTGAGAGGAAAACCTGAGGAAATAGAGAGATACCTTGCAGTCATGGACACAAGGTTGCTGGATGTGAAGTAACACACTTTGATTTTAAAACAAGCTAAAATTACTAGTTTGTTAATTCAGTTCCTTTTGCTGCTACTTAGAGACAAAATGGTCTGTGAAGTGCAGTCTGGCAGAGAGATTAGAGCCAAAAGGCTTGTGTGGAAGGAGCACAAGGCAGACAGCAACTACTTGGCAACATACATGTGGGAGAAGTTTGGACTTTAACTGTGTTTCCAGGCCTTATCAATCTTCAGATTTTATTTTTCACAAATTAAAATAAACACCAGAAGAGAAAATTCTTAGAATAGAAAATATTAGTTAGAAAGTAAATGAGATTTATTTCTTTCACTTACTAACTTACAGTATATTTCACTTACTAAATTACAGTATATTTTCTAAATCCCCTGACACTTACTGAAGTTCCCATGCACTTGAGGAAGCCACCCAGACTCCAACATGACAATCACTGAGACTATCATGGCAGCTCTTGACCAAATGGTTAGGGAGCTTTGTTAAACTGTCTAGTTGGAAATAAAAGCATTTAATTCCTTATGTAAGAATATGCAGGACTGCTAAGTGAGATTTGAGTGTTGTTTGATAACTAAATCTTGAAGTTTCTTACTTCAGTATTGGAGTTAAGCTTGGTTGGAAAAAAAAAAGGTCTACTATGAAAAAGTCATTATTTCACCTTAGAGCTCCATAAGCCCCTCTCCTTTCCTTCCCCATCCCTACACAGCAGTGACAAGCTGAGACTGAAGACAGCCAAGGAGCCCAAGGAGCAGACAGCCCATGGATTACCACCTGTCTCAAGGTACTGACTGCACTTCCTTCAGTCTTCATTTTCCTTCATTAAAAAAGCTAAACCTTTTTTTTTTTATCCCTAAATTGAGACCAAATCCAATTGCTGCAATCAGCTTGTATTCAGCCAGCAAATTGAACTGTGTGAAAAGGCACAGAGCCAGAATCTCTTGCTCAGCCCAGAGCCAGGTGCTGTGAACAGAGAGTGTGTGGTTGGGGACTGCTGGCAATTCCATCAGTCCATGAGTTGGGAAGATCACACAGTCACCTCAAACCAGCTTAGTAACACACACCATTTCTTGCTCTAGTGTGCTTCATGCACGTGCAGCTACTGTGTTATTTAAAACAAACTGAGCTGCAATATCTTGCAAATATCTTGTTTGTCAAAATATTTCTTTTAAAGCCTGCTGAAATTTCCATCACATGGGAACTGATGAGACTTATTTGTTAGATCTGCAGCTTCTGTGTAGGATCTACTAAATCCTGCTGGGAGTGTGAATATACTGCAGGCAAAGGAACATTCCAGCTGGTCAGAAAGCCACCAAGTCAAGCCAGGGGAGATCTACTACAGGAATATCCTCTATTCTGATTAGAAAGTAACTGAGAATGAAAAGAAGCCCACGATCACTCTCCCCCTGAGTGCTAAAGGGATTATAACACGAAAACCCCCTTGGACACTCTGAACCTACTTTATTATACTACTCCCCTTCACCCTTTGGTTTTGTTTTTCATGGTGGGAGAAAAATACTAATAACACACTCCAAAATACATATGAGTGGTGTCTGTCACTCATAATTGTATACAAAAATTTTTCCCTTTAATTTGCTTTGATCACAAAAACAAACCAAGACAAACAAAACACAGTTAACGCTGAACCCCTAATGCTGAAAAACAGAATTGCTAACAATGTAAAATGATCCACTGGTAAAACACCAATGGATAGCATTTATTTTTCTTATTAAAGTAAGAGAGTATTTTCAAGCTGTTTTTAATTACGTGCAATTACAGTAACAACTGTTTACAGATACACCTATGGCAGCCAGATAAAGAGAAGGAAAAAATGTGTTAGAAAATGTCACCTTGATGACAACAGCCCTTGAACTGCATATGAAAAGTGAAGGAGAATTTTCAGCTAAGCAAGGTTAGAGATGGGTTTGTTGCAAGAGAGACAGCTAACAGTTTGAAGTGAGAATGGGGCTATCAAATACAAAGCTCAGCAGGAGTGCATGTGTTAGTTCAATTCAGTCCAGTCCAACTACAGTAATACCCTTCTCTCTCTACAGAAACAGGTGTCCTGATACAACGTAGGACCACATTTACCTTAATTCCTTACTGTACTGGCTTACTTCTGGGACTGCAGAAAGTATTTTTATGAAGTAATGGAGCCAATGGATGAAGCTCCCCCTTTAAAAAACAACCCTCATTCATCCCCAGACTACGACCTTGTACATTGGGCTGAACAGTCTATTTTCAGTACTCCGGGCCCTCAAAAGTTGTCCAATTCCTCCTCTGCTGCATCCTGAAAGTCCTATTTATTAACAAATTTGTATCAGCAGTTTGCCTTCTCTTTATGTCCAGATGTTCATCAAATAAATGATAGATGAGCTGACTGTTTATTCCGCACAATCCCTTTTGCATCCTTGAGCTGACACATCGTATTCTGGAGAGCAGGAAGGGTAATAGCTTATGTTTACAGACTTATCATTTTTTAAAGAATTGTCAAGAATCAGACTTGCACCAGAAAAATTTCTGTACAGACACCCAATTATTTAAATCTGCCTGACTACACATTATGCTATTATCTTAGTATGTTGTAAGATCTTACTTTCAAGGACAGATACTTGCACCAATTTGCACTTCCAAAAATACAAGAGTATTAAAAAAAAAAAAATCCGAATTCAATTTTGAAAAGAACTGTTTAACAATTTAAAGATTGACTTCATAAGATCAAACAATATTAAAAAGTAATTACTCTTTGAAGTAGCCTTGTTTCACAAAAGATAAATTTTCAAGATATACTACTTTAAAATTCAAAACAGTAACTCAACATGTCCACGTCCACAGCTGCAAGAACAGAGTCTGCATCAAAACGCTCCTAATGATATTCTGTAAAATATACCATTCTAGAATGACTAAGGATCAAGGATGCCTTAAAAATACTGTTCCAGCTTTCCAGAGACTTCATCAGGTAAACAAAAATATAATTACAGGAAGCACATGGGAATATACAGTAAATGTATATAAGGCTTACAAGAACTTTATGAGGGATGTATGTGATTAAAAGCTTTTGTTTACTCCAAAACCTCTGTTGAGATACATGTGTTCCTTCATCCCTTCAGCATTCAGCCTAGAAAATTAGTAATTATGCTAAACAAAGGAAATTTATCTAATAAAATTGTACATTTATTCATCTGGCTTGCAGAGGCAGGGAAAGCTAATGCCAGACAGTTATAAAGAGACATTATGAAGCAGTGGTATGGCACCAGGAAGACAGCAATATTCCAGAGAAAATACCTTCTTTTCTGTGCTACTATGTATGTTTAGACTCAGTCTGGCATATAGTAAAAGGTTTCAAAACAAATTTCTTACAATATTGAAAACCTGATGTCGCTCTGTTTTGTACCAGTAATGCACATCATGCTGAACTGGGACATTCTTCTTTGCTGTTAGCGAGGAACTGCAGCTCGTGCTCTGGCAGAGCTTCCACACTGAAAACCTTTTAACATTCTGGGAGCTCATTCCAGATGCCAGTCTGAATGCGATGCATAAGCCCCTACCCTACAACTGTGACAAACAAAGGTCTGACAAAGCAAAAAACACACAGGCACTACGAAAAAAGTCCCTCTGCTAGGTGGCTTTCAACTGAATAATAGGGCAGTAATTTTGACACAGAGTTTTAAATACTTGAAAAATTGAGAGACTGCAAATCATATGCAGTTTACCAGAAGCACACCTCTCCTCTGTTCCAAAATGCAAAGCTTTAGGCAAAACTACAGATTCATATGCAATTTTTTCCCCTTAGTCATACAAAAAGCTGGAAGCCATTTGGTGCAGAGTGTCTGACAGCATGAATTTTGAAAGTCTGGTTCCAGGTCAGACCAACATTGCCTAGCAAACACAGAGATTAAGAGCTTAATCCCAAAGAACAGTGGAGCAACCAACTGGAGACTACTGTATTTCTGATTAAGTCATCATCCAAAGTCTGCATCTAATTTTGCCAGAATTCTCTCCAGAGCAAAGATGCCAACAATGGCAATGGGCATTTATGAATTGATTTTTCACCTAATAAAGACAGAACTGCTACACTCTCATGGGTAATAATAAGTATTGGCACTCACAAATCTCAGGAAATTAAAAAAAAGTAAATTGTAATTGTCTTAACTTCTTGGTCTAAACAATATTAGTCAGGAACTTAGCACTACACCTGTACAACAGGAAGAGTATCCCATTATAGAAAACATACTGTAATAAACTCTAAACTGACCATGTGATGTGTGCTAATAATTCCCTCTTTTCCAAAAAATGAGTTTATTTGTAATACCAGGAGTTTCTCTTCTTAGATTTTTAATCTGGCATACATGGCTGCAATTTCCAGGATTCATAACTGAAGAATCAAAACTTTTAGACAACAGACAAGCTTTCAGAAAACGAAAACCAAGGTCAAGTATTATTTTCAGTTCTTTGCTACTTAAGAAAATTGCCTGCAACTTAGTATTAACTTACTAAATCCATGATCTCTTAAGAGATGAAAAATGACTTTCATGGAAACATACTGTAATATTCAAATATTTCCTAATTCTTTAGGGGAAGGGACCACTTCTGCTGTATAATTTATAAGCTGCTGACCATATTATTAGTTTTTATCAATATTCTGGTTTTGCATTTCACAGCAAGCTTATCACATCAAAGACATAATCAAGCCATGAAATGAGATCTGAACTCAGCCTACACAGAGTAATAGTTTTAATATTAAACTGTTTGCTTTAAAACAAGCGCTCCACTTGTACTGCAAGTGTTGAGCCACCGGAAAGGTATGAAAAGCCATCTAGATGTGTGGACAACAAAACCTGCTGACCAGTGAACTGCCCTATTTTAACAGCTTCTGGTTGATATAGCCATGCTTGCCAAACACTAAATGAGGCTTACAGGAAGTCACACAGAACGACATCTAAGGTTGCAGGTTGAGACACTGTTTAACAAAGCCAGGTGGTGGTCAGCATTTTACCTCCATGTTATTGTAGTTCTACCTATGTAGTTACTTTCTCTCAGCAGAAACCTGCCCTCTCCCACTGAAAGCTGGTTAGTATTTACAGGATGATGCCGAATCCAAAAATGAGGATTTTCTCCAGGTGCTGCACAAAAGGCGAGAATGACTTCACCAGTTTTATGCCTGCACTCTGTTTCAGACACCTCTCTGAAACTTTCTCTCACTAGTGAGAAGGAAGTCGCACCTTTTAAGGGTTTCCACTGGACAAAAAGCACAACGCCCTTGCATTGTTTCATCCATTACAACGAGGCACCCCCTTGGTCATTTTGAGAACAGTAGATTGTTATCTTTTTCTTTAATTTGGGGCAATAGTCAGAGGACACTTTCTGAAAGTCCATAGTAAAAAAAGAATAAAAATTAACTGTACTTTTAGAGGTTGACAAGAAGCTTATATTTCGCTTTGTAATGCGTGCACCTATTTTGCATCATTTTAGCAATTCAAGAACTGTTAAAGATAATGCTTTAAAGCAATCTCGTGAATTCTAGAGAAAAGGCTAAGTATATTTTAAGCAATTATTAGACAAACAATAGGTCATTATATGACCCCTTCAACCAAATCAAGTGTAATTCATGCTTTTACTTCTAAAGTAAGTTTTACATTGATGTACACAATATATAGTACAGTCCCACAAAACCTGGTTCTGTAACAGATTTCTACATCTCCCTTTCAATTAAACAACATTGTTTAACACACCATTTCTCCCTTTACTGTGAGAGACTCCAGTGGAAAGCTTTTTCTGTGGTGATATCTACATCTTACTTCAATTAGAAAAGAATAGTTGATATCTCTGTTTTACTGTCATCTGCTTCTCTATCTTTCATGAAAATGCATGACTTGGAAAGAAAACGTGTACCTTATTCAGAAACATTCTTGTCATTCCTCAAGAACAGTAAGGGGAAATAGTAATACCAGAGAGAGGATATTTTATCTTGCTACTTAATTTACTATGTGATAATAGGAACCAAATAGACAAAGTAATAGAAGGCCCAGTTTTCAGTAATAAAAGCACCAGATGGGATTAGCTCTCATGTTGTTTCCAAACAGTGTATTTCCTAACTGCAGGGCTAAACATGCCTTAAGTCTCCAGCTGCAGAACAAGGAAATGCTTACAATATACAAATTAGGTTCTTTCAAATTGCCTAGTTTTTCATGACAATGCTTATAAGTAATGTCATGAAAAAAGCCCAGGCAGATCACAGAAAACATTCACCTGTCTCCTACACCCTGCCTCCTACAGAGGAGGCCAAAAGCAGGTATTTAAGCATGCCTATCAGAACAGGGCAAGTAGGCACAACACTTTAAACAAATACTTACCCACTTTCTAAAATTAGCAACTTGAGCAATGAAGTTTCTCTTCTGCAAATTGTCCCTGCATCTTCAACTTTTTATTTTTGGCATCAAAAAATATGTTTTAATTCCAGAGAAGCAACTGTTTTGTTAAGAGTATGGATAAACTTACAGATGAAGTCTCCTCCAAGCATCACTGCACATTCTTGTATATAAAGTTTAATATTTCAGGACTCCTGTTAAATATCAAATACTCTAGGGAAAAAAGTGTCTGTTTCGCTAACATTTTAAATTAATCAGTAACTCCCCTCTGGAAGACAGCTGACATTTACTCTAAGCTACATCCATTTTTTTGCATCTGTGTACAAACTTTCAGGTTCTCAATACTGAGTTCACAGATGCAAACTTGAAAGCAACATTTAAAAAAAAGGTTACTCACTACACTTCTTGTATTTTGCTTTTATCAGGTGTCAACTTGACAACAGTTAGAATGTGACCACATCCCTCCAACTGCAGTCATGCAAACAAAAAGGTTCAGTCACCAGTCAGTCCTGAGGCTCCTGAAAGAAACATCAGTAAAGGCACCAATTACCTGCATCAGTTTTCTTGAAAGTTCATTAGTGAGGAATTCCTCTTCCTTTTCATAGTTTACTGCAAGAGTTTCTTTTTCTTTCTGCAGAGCTTGAATCTTCTTAAATAGAGTATTACTGATGAATTCCTCTTCCTGTTCTGCCCTTGCTTGCTGCGAAGTAAAGAGAGAGTTTTAAGCAAAAAGGGAGCAAATTTCCACATTAAAAGCTGCAATCATTCCATTCCCCTTCAAATGCCTAGCATCCTGGAGAACAGTAGGCTGGATGTAAGTGCTGTTACCGTCCCCTTTTGTAACATTATATCACCTTTCTTCATTTTTTGTTTTCCATCTTTAACTTGGGAAACTTTAAAGTGGCCTCCTCCCAACCAAATGCACAAACTCCCCAACCTTATAAAGTTTATAAAAGCATTATGGATTCACAGATACCTATTTTTACCTACTCTATGCCTAAAAAGAAACTCCTATCTAAATGTTCTCCACTACAAGCTGAAGCACAGCTCAGACTTTTGCATCCAGCACCGTGTCTTCTTTTCAGATCCCTCAGACTGAGCCCTGCTTTCTAGGAGACAAATAATGCATTTATTCTTTCACCCAGATACGCCTTGCTACTGAGCCACAGGCACCGTGGCTTTTCTCACAGGAGCTTCTACCTAACCACCAGCCTAGGAAAAGGGGTTTCTTGCTTCTCAGAACTGTTACTCCACTATACACATCAACTTACAAAAATGCCATGTGGTAGCTTTACCCCCAGCTACTCTGGAAATCATCTGGAATCACTAGAGAAGACAATTTCCATATCAGCTTTCCAACAGCACCCAGGCACTGCTCCACAAAAAGCTAGCTGGGAACTTGCCCACTTGCGTTCCCTACAGTTCAGATGTTTGTATGTTTTTAAATATAAATAATAAAAAAAATGATAAATGGAACACAGAAGTGATTTTTTGAAAGCCTGCTCTGATACACTATGAAGAGTATTTCATATGGGCAAATGAATGATCATAGCTACAAATTGGTAGAGCCAACTCCTAATTCCACAGTCCAAATGAAGCCTAGAACAGCTGAATGACAGAAATACCATATTTAACAAATGAAGCAAGGTAGTGTTGAGGAGTGGTTTTATTCCCTGCAATAAAATCCATTACTTGAACTGCGTGTGTGTGATTTGCCCTGATCCTAATAAAATGACACCAGCTTATAGCTTATGCAAACATTCTCTAAGTTTCATTTCAGTAAAATTTAAGAGAGGAAAATTTAAGAACTGAAACAACCACATTACTGAAAGCTTAGCTTCTATAATCTTCTGCCCAAAATGTGCCAAAATAACCATGTCTTCATACTTATTGTACACTGGAAAATGCTTGAAAGATTTCCTTATGTCAGTGATCTTTTAACTGGAACGATATGTTCCCTAGTGGTCCAAGAGACAATTACTTAGACACAGACACCTTCCATGTCGAGAAGAAAAGTTAATTAAACAACATTACTGTCTTTAAATTTGGTGAAACAATAGGACAATTGCAAATTTTCCTCTTGATAACATCAGCAGTTTGGAAACTTCGCAGTTGAGTCCTCTTTCCACCAAGTCCTTCTCTTCACATTTTTATCTCTGCCTTCTCCCATCTCTATTGCTTTCTTTTCAAGGCCCTTTCCTACTATCTACCTGCCACCAGCTCCCTTCTTCCTGTCACCAGCAGAGTTGGCACAAACCCAAACTGAAAAAAAAAGAAGAGAGGGAGAGGGGAGGGGAGGTTCTGAGAGGAGAGGTTTGGAGAGGAGAGGTTCGGAGAAGAGAAAAAGAAAAAACAAAAAGCAAGGTCAGGCAGAGTTTATTAGCTTAGCAGCTTCGGTCCTGCACAACACCTCCTCTAACGTTTTGCATCTCTATAGCAAGGAACTGCTACTCCAGCATGTTCAGCATTGGTATTATTACCTGCCACATCAAGAAAATATAGAGTTGTCCAAGAGCTCTGAAGGAATGCTAACTTGTCAGCTAACATCTTTGAGGATTTCAACTCCAGATATCTAACCGATCTGAATAACATCATCTATCAGTTTCTAAATGTGGCTTTACTTAGAGCTACTAACAATCTTATGTCTTCAGAGACATTTTGGAACAGAGTAAACAAGTCAAATTGCAAGGGCTCATTGTCCTCAAATCGTTAAAATTCATGCATGCTGTTCCAAAATCAACTCCTCCACTGCCTTCACCACACAGGATTTCTACTTGTGTCTGTTTTTCAATGGTTCAGATAATAAAAGGCAGCAACATAGACCAAGCTTACCTAAAATTAAATTAGAAAGCACTTGGTTCTAAAAAAACCAAAAGAATGAGGGTGTTTCTGCTTTGATTTCTATTCATCTGTAACTTGCACAGATTTGTTCTGCTCATGGTTTGCACCAATCAAAAGCTCTGAAATCACATTATTACAGCACTGAGCCTGCACAACACTTCATAGCCAGATCCTGGTGTTACATTAATGATGGGTGTTAAGGCCAACACAAACAAGCTGCCAAGATCCCAGCCCACTCCTGGCCAAACAGCACTGCCCCTTTCTTTGTGCCCACACGGGTGCTCGCACGGCCAGGCATGGGGCCAGCACAGCCAGGAGGAGACACCCAAAAACTAATCCCTTCCCTTCCTCCTCCCATTTTTTTTCCTGGATCTGCTTCCCAAACAGGCGTACCACCCAGGCAGAGTGCTGGCACGCAGCAGTCAAGGACCAACAGCCACAATTTAGCCCTGTTTAAACTGCCCTGCCCCAACCCCTGTGCCCAGAGCCCGGCTGGCAGGCGGGTGGCTCAAAGGAAAAGCTGAGTGTGACTGCACCTGCCTCCATTTACAGGAATGTATTTCTCAGCTGAACAACAGGAATCCCACACATCTAAGTATGAACTGTAAGCTCCAGATACCCACACATTGTACTTCATATAATGAATGTCCATTTAATTACCAAAGGGTCAGCAATCTCGACACAAATCTTTTGGTTAAAAAACATCATATAGTTAATTAAGACTGGGTACAAAGGCATGTGATTCATTACCATAGTTCTTCTAAATTTCATTCTAAAACTTGCCCTACATCTTGTCACTCATTACTTGGAGACAATTCAATTATCTCAAGCAATAAAATAATTCACGTTTACCTTAATATTGCCTAAAATCTTGAAATCTGTTACTCATTTAGCCCATAATCAAACATTTTTCTGGATGTGAATACTTTGTTTTTCCAAAAGGATAACTTGTCTTTTTATTACATATCTGTATTTGAAAAGAGGCTTGATATGATCAGCAAAAAGAGTGAAACAGAATATGGAAACCAGAGACACTAGGTCTGCTATGAGGGTACAGAATTGTTGGTTTTCCTCTATTATCCATATCACATTCAACATCCAAAAATACTAACAGTAATTTACTCTGTTCCGTGTACCATATTACAAAATAAATTGCTAAGGCACTGAGCGATACAAAATGCCAACACCTCTATCAAACTGGAATCAAACCTGATTCCAGTCAACCTCTAGAAACCTGAAACAAGCAATCTACTTCCACCACAGATTTTCTGCATAACAGGCACATCCACCTGTCTCCTCTGCCTCAGAACTCCATATATAGTTAACTCAGAGCATTTCACAGACCCATTCACTAAGGACAATCTGTAATTCTTGTGGTCAAGACCATAAATGGCAAGGACTATAGTGTTACTTTGCAAGAAATCAAGAATAAGGGAGGGACGAAGCACCTCATGCACATAAAACACACAAAACCTCTCATATTTCTTAGGAAGAAAAATCCTATTATTTCTATTGCAGCAGCATGTGAAATCCTCATCATTAGTAGAGCTGATGCATAAAGTGTTGTAAAAATCTGTCTTTGTGAGCTTAAAATCCAATTATCTGATTTTAAAAGAACTAAGAAACACTTCTCCTAAACTTTAGACAGTGACTTTCTGTATCACTGCACCTCACCCCACCTACGCTGCTCCAGTGGCACTATTTTATGAAGCAAGCAAAATCCAGGACTTCCAATAAGGCATCAGCTTGAACACAGTCAAATAAAAACCTGAACTATAAGAGAATTTTTTCAATTCCAGCTCTCTCTTCTCCTTCCCAGTTAGTTCTTCTAGAAGCCCCACAAACCTTTCTGATACTGCACAGTAAGCAAGATCAACAATCCAATTAATACCTACTCCTTAGTCCGTATCAGCACATTAACAGTGACCTGACACGAACATGTTCTTGCATTTTAATTTCAGGTCTCATTTCAGACACAACTTCAGTAAAAAGTGTTTCACAAACTGCTCCAGGCACCTACACTGGATCACCTGAGAGCCAGATGCCAAGCACACCCAGCTTGCAGGCTGACAAAGCATCACCTCCAGTAGCATCCAGGTTAGGGGTGACACAAGGTTTCAGGGGATCTTGCTGCAAACAGCCTACCAAGCACTGTTTTGACCTAACCCACTCTGCAAAGTCCTTCATCTTTAAGGTAAGAACCACCACGACCTCTTTACCATTCCCCCACTTCTCTACAGAGCAGTTCCCGTTGACAGGACCCTACGGACAACGTAACCCTGTAGATGGAGCTGAAGAGCAGTGACACAAGAAACTCAATCTTTGCTACTGAATATAGACTGAAGGGCTGGGGCAGCTTCGGGAAGAGATGATCTCAGTGGCTGCACATGTTACACCGAACTAAAGCTGTCACTTCAGAAAGAAGCCTTCCCGAAAGTCCTGCTAAACATGATGAGGTAAAAAGCGTGAGAATTGCAGAGCGTTATAGTGACAAGATTTGAAAATATGCAATTCTTGCATAAAATAAAATCTAAGTTTCCCAATTCTCCTGAAGTACACTCTCCTTTTCTAGCAGTACTAACTCAAGTGACTGCTCTGGCCTTACTTTCTGGCACCAGGTTAAAATGATATGGAAAACTACTGATCTACAAATGCAATAAACATTCCAGTGAGCTGATACTGCTCCCTTACAGCAGAAACTTTTACAGTGCAGCTGTTTTTTCCTACCAACCTTCCAGCTGCATCTGAAACGACCACATTGCATGCAATGTGCATTTCAGACAAGGAGAAACATGAACCATTGCAAGACCAGAAGTCAACGGCAAGTCAGAGAAGAGCTGCTCACGCTACTGCCAACTG